GGTCATCCCCATGGTGCACATCCTCAACCGGAAGGTGGAGATGCTCTTCCAGGAGACCATGGGCATTGACACCATGCTGCGTGCTCTCAAGGAGGCCATGGTGAGCCGCCTGTCCGCCACCCTCCACGACCCGCGGTACGTCTTCGCCACGCTGCTGGACCCTCGCTACAAGGCCTCCCTGTTCACGGAGGAGGAGTTGGAGCAGTACAAGCAGGATCTAATCAGGGAACTTGAACTCATGAATTCTACCTCAGAGGACGCGGCTGCCTCCCACGGGTGTGATGCCGGCTCCCCATCGCAAGACTCTGCCGCAGAGGAGAACCTGTGGTCACTGGTGGCCAAGGTAAAGAAAGACCCGAGAGGAACGCTGCCTGAAGACATGGTGCTCGCATATCTGGAGGAGGAAGTGCTTGAACACAGCTGTGACCCGCTCACCTACTGGAGCCTGAAGAAGGCATCCTGGCCGGGGCTGTCCGCGCTGGCCGTCAGATTCCTGGGCTGCCCGCCAAGCATCGTCCCTTCGGAAAAGCTGTTCAACACGCCCACGGAGAACGGTAGCCTTGGCCAATCCAGGCTCATGATGGAACATTTTGAAAAACTTATCTTTTTGAAAGTGAATCTCCCCTTAATATACTTTCAGTATTGAAACTCACGACAGCACCTCCAGGCCAGAGGCGTGGCTGCCCCGGCGTGAGCAGCCTGCACCGGGGCTGCTGCTCGCTCCGCCCAGGGCCGTGCGGACGTCAGACCGGGCACTCTCAGGACCGCCCTCCAGCTCACCAGTGTCTCCACGTGCCTTACCCCTCCTCCTTCAGGCCAGGTTTCGCGGTGTGTTTTTTAAGACATCTACTAGAAATAGGTTGTCCTGTCAACTATGAAATATGACTAGATTTTAATTCATAACTGTAAAATTTTTTAAAGTTTTGGGTTAGTAATTTACTAGAATGACAAGATGTAAACAATTTTATTCTGTAGGCTTTTTACTCAATTATGTACAAACCACAAATCAGGTACTGTATTTTAGTTAAGCATTGCTTTAATTGCAGCAGAATAGCTTTTGTGGCTATCAAATGAAATCTGTAAATAGGAGGTGGAGGTCAAGCCATCCTGACTGAGCAGTTTCTAACTGCAGGTTCTAAAGTATATCGCGGAGTACAGATAATATTCTGGAAGGTAACTGTTTACTACGACAGAGACATGGCATTTGGAAACAAAACTTAGATGTTTCATGGAGTTTGTTTTGAGAACGTTCCCATTTCAGGTTTCTGCATTCAGGCTTTACATGGTCAGTTAACTCAGAGATACCCCGACTGTTTCTCATCAGCTCTTCTGAAACGTGATCCGTCTGTAACTGTGCTCATCACCTCGCCAGAGCGTTCAGTGACACGCTGACGGCAGGTGTCCCTGCTGAGACTCCCACGCCTCTGCTTCAGCATCTCCACGCTCTGAAGCTGTCTTTCAAAATGTGTGCACTGACCCCTTGTTTGATCAAATTTGTGTAAAATTTTTTTAGAAGAGATGGCTTATTAACAGGGAAGAAGCTTGTTACATTACAGTTGTAAGAATAGCCTTAGGTGTTTAGATTTTTTTTTTTTAATGATAGGGAAGATTCAGCCATCGCTGGGATATTTTAGAATCCCAAGGACATCAGAATGAAGTATCGGTTATCAGATTCTTTTAACAATTATGTCTTCAGAGAAAAAAGATTTCATTTTCTCGTTTTAAACCAATTAAATATTCTGGGTTAGACAAATCACTCATTTGCCTACAACCTTTTAGGAAAGTTGTTTTGTTGAAATACTGTACTTATGCTTAATCTAAATTTGCATCCACTATGTTTTAGTGTATTTATAAATGGTGAACTCAGTTTCTGAAATTAAACTTTTTATTTGCAATTTTCTAGTGCTGGCAGACACTGGCTTTTTATTTTTAGGCTAACAAAACAGGCATATTCTTTGTGGCCCATACTTGTGCAGCATTTGAAATTCCACCTTAACCCCAGACAGGGCTCGGGGAAGTGGAGGTGTAATTGTTGCAACGGCAGTTTCAAGCATGGTAACGGTGGTGACTTTCCAGGTCTTGTGTTGAGGTGGTGTCAGGATACAGGAGCCAGTGGCCAGCCCCGAGGGTTGTCTTGGCCGCAGGCTCTGCACGTCCTCCCTGATGCCCTCTCACCCGTTTGCTGTGCACTCGTTCCCGTGAGTGCCCAGGAGTGCTGATTGGGGACAGTGCCTGTGAGGCTGCAGAGGAAGTGGGGTCCATGGCCCACCTATCTCGCCCTCGCCAGCAGCTCTGGCCAGTGCCCTCCTGGTGTAGAAGGGGTTGTGCCCAGGATAGGAGGCAGCCACAGTTCTTGTTCAGCTGTGCCCACAGCTGGCTGGCAGTCCTGTGTTTCTTAAGATTGTATTTGAAGTGGTAATGTCCTTAGAATTTTGGGATATTGAGTTTGATGGATTTTCTCTGTAAAACAAGCCAGCACAACTAACTGTAGCAGAATCACGTCCACTCAGTCATTCGACTGAGAGGAAGTGCCCTCCTTTCTGCAGGGCCTGGGCTAGTTCCTGGGGCGCAGCAGAGATTTCCGTGGACAGTCTCTGGTCTCTCGGAGCAGATCGTCTAGTCCAGGATTGGCAAGCTGCAGCCATGGGCCAGTCTGGCCCTCTGCCTGTTTTTCTAAAAATTTTCTGAAATTTTCTTGGAATACAGTCACAGCCGTTTTTTAACATGTTGTCTTGGCTACTTTCAGGCTGTGACAGGAGAACTGAGTAGTGTGACAGAGACCACAGGCCCACTGAAAGGGCCAAACAGGGCTGAAAATACTGTTGGGCCCTTTCCAGAAGAGCAAGTTTGCTGGTCCTTGAGCTAGCTGGCTTTTATGTTTGTTTGTTTTAAGCTTTCAGCCTCATGCTGCTGTATTTTCAGTTGAAGTTTTCTGAGTAACGGTGTATAAAAGGGGATTGCAGAGAAAAGGAGGGCTTGCTTTACTCAATAGAAAATACGGCCCCGCTTGAGTGACACTAGGAGAGTCGTACATTCCGCTCATTTGGTTGGTGGACGTTTGTTGAAACCAGGCACTGAGGAAATGGTCAAATTGTGCCCTCCAGTTGCTGACAGTCCTGCAGGAAGATGGACAAGAGGCCGCGCGCTGACAGTCACATGACTCTCACTGTACTTGAATGAGGGGACTGTGGGTGCAACTAGAAACTATGTTTATTATTCTTAGCCATTCCCCTTTGCCTCTCTGTTCAAAACCCTAGCTGCGAGCTGTTTGTTTCCCTGCCTGGAAATTATGCTTTAGGCAGGTTCCTTACTTTCTCAGGTCTGTCTCAGATAATAAAAAGCCCTTTGTATGAGCCTCGGAGCTGTCTCTTCAGTGAATGAAATTACCAGTCATTACACGAAGGGACTGTAAAAAGTGTATGAAAATATTGAAGTAAAAGATAAAAGCAAAAAATAAAAACTTTATTTCTTGGCTGGGCACAGTGGCTCATGTTTGTAATCCCAGCACTTTGGGAGGCTGAGGTGGGAGGACTGCTTGAGGCCAGGAGTTCGAGAAATTACCCAGGTATGGTGGTGCATGCCTGTAGTCCCTGCTACTTGGGAAGCAAAGGCAAGAGGATCACTTGAGCCCAGGAGTTGGAGGTTGCAGTGAGCTATGATCACACCACTGCACTCCAGCCTGGGCAACAGAGCAAGATCCTGTCTCTTAAAACCACTGCCACCGCCACCAGCACCAACAGACGTTTGTATTTCTCAATGTAAGCTCCATCAAGGTCAAGATACTTTTGTAAGCTATGACACCAGCCATGTAGTCCATCCCTAAAGAACTGAGGGTGCTGGGAATTTAACAATGTCAGTGCAGCCTTTTTAACATTATTAACTGAAGAGAAAGATGAGTGCCTTTAAGGATTTTTTTAAATGAGGAAGCAAGTCAGGAGTGAAATCCGACTGTAAGGTGGATGCCTAATGATTTCCCAACGAAACTATTGAAGAACTGCCATTATTTGATGAGAAGGATGAGTGCGGAGCACTGTCATTGTGGAGAAAGACACTGGTGGGGCGTTCCCGCGTGTGTGTGTGTTTGTTCTTTTTTGGCTAAAGCTTTGACTAACTTTCTCAAAACACTCTCATAATAAGATGTTATTGTTCTTTGGCCCTCCAGAAAGTCAACAAGCAAAATGCATTCGGCATCCCAAGAATGTTCATGTTGCCATGACCTTAGCTCTTGACTTGTCCACATTTGCCTTGACTGGGCCACTTCCACCTCTTGGTAGCCATTGCTTTGATTGTGGTTTGTCTTCAGGATGGTACTGGTAAAGCCCTGTGCAATCTCCTGTTACAATTCAAGGAAATGCTTCAGGGTCCTGATGACACTTGTTTAAAATTTCCATGGAAAGCCCTGCTCTTGTGTGCAGCTGATCTGGGCACAACAGTTTTGGCACCCATCAAGTGGAAGGCTTGCTCAACTTCAGTTTTGAACCCGTTGATGTGTCTGTGGGCTTGGCTATTTTGTGTGTGTGCTGTTAATCATCAGTCCTCTTTAATCAAAGCATGAACAAGATGAATGTTTTCCTTGCAAACTGATGTAGATGCTCTGCCACTGTGGTCTTCATCTTCATCATTGTCCCTTCTTAAAACAAGGTGTCTATGTATATACTGCCGATTTCTTTAGGGCACTGTCCTCATACACGTTCATAAAGCATCAGTGATTTTCACCATTCTTTCACCCAAGGTTCACTGCAGATTCGATGCTTGCTTTTCCTTCAGTTTTAGCAGAATTCATGTTCTGATAGGGGTTCTTTTCAAATTGATGTCTTACTGCCTCAAACCAGATCTATTCAGACATGTTATAACAAGTTAGTTTGAGTTTATTTTGGTGCAAAAGAATTTTGAAATCCATGAACTTTTTGAAGACCACTCCTGCAGTAATAAAACATGGAACTTCATTTAAAGCTAAAATTCCTTTCCCTTCCACTTCTTTTTTTTTTTTTTTTTTTTTTAATTCTTCAGCTAAGACAGCAGAAGAGGTGATTTATTTTATGGTTGTTACATTCGGCCACAGGTAAACATAGAAATAGTCCAGAGTGTCACAGGTCCAGGGCAAAGGACCAACATGGGCAGTTTTGGTTATGAGCAAGGTGGGTCTCAGGTGATTGGTGATCAGATGGCGATGAAGTTCTAGATCCATTGAGACAAGCTCTAGACAGTAGCATGCAGTCCCACAACTTGTACCAGCATCCCCAGCATCTGGCATTCCGTGTTTCTGCTCCTGTGGCCTCCATGGTGCAACAAGCTAGCGGTTTACTTGAACCTCTGCCTCATCTTTCTTCTTTTGCGCTTCAGCCTGCGCATTCCTTTCTTCCTCCACTTCGCTCTCATGGCGCAGAGGTTTCCCAAAAAAATGGCACTAAGGCCAAGAGAGCCCTTCCACTTCTGAGTATGAGACAGAAACTGGTATTAAACCAAATCCTTCCCAAGAACTATCAAGGCCATATAAAATCTATTTTTAAAAAGAGCTTTTTGAAGACATCAGAAAGCAATTAAGACAGGATTTGAGGAAACAAAATCCTAGTGAGTTGAGACTTGGATAAGGGTGAGTCCTGCATTCGCAACATTTTTTCGTACTGGGCCATTTGCTGGTGTCCTGCTCTAAGGCCTGAAAGAAGGTGGCAACCAGAGCCCACGTAGTGTCACTGGGCTGGGAGACCAGCAGCAACATATGAGCTGTCGTGTTGGCCAGGATGCCGGAGCCTCGGAGAAGGGCGAGTTCCCTGCAGGACACTGGTGCCTCAGAGAAGGGGGTGAGTTCCCTGCAGGACACCGGAACCTCGGAGAAGGGTGAGTTCCCTGCAGGACGCCGGAGCCTC